TTTTTTTTCATGAAAGCTCCACAATTCATTTTACTACTTGTCAAAAGTGAATTTTTTTTTTTCTGAAGAGATACAGTTGTTTAAAATTTCAGTTCTCTTTATGATTTTATTTTTCATCTTTGCTTCTGGAAGCTTCACATAATTATCTAGCATTCTAGGCCCAAAATTTGGAATAAAATATTATACAGTGATAAAAAATGAGGACTAACAAAGTGGTTAGTGAAGACTGTTAGGATGCATGCACCATTGATTTTGTTATTCTTGTAATCATGGGACAAGACTATTACGAAACCTCAGTATGAATCACTTGAAAGTGTAATGACAGCATAATAGTCTTCCCCTTTTTTGTAAATCAGAAGTGCTCCTCTAAGCAGCAGTCACATAAATGCTATTTACTAGACAGAGAAGTTTGAACACCCTCGACCTTAGATTTCCCCCAGGAGAAAGTGCGTCTGTATCTCACGCCCAGTGCACCCGCATCTTGACCACTCCGTGGTACTCATCCTCGCGTGATACTCGACCACAAAGGACGATTTTTGTGACACTTCACTGGACAGCATGGAACTGACCAGAGATAACTAAGGCTTTTTCCAGTAATGTTCCCCAGTGATTGTCAGGGTAACAGTAGTTGCCCGTCCCCCTTGTAGTTTCCAAGTAGTTCTGTTACTAGACTTTTCCATCCTGGTCTTAAATTGAAAATGCAAGCTCCTGGAAGAAGCATTTTTCCTCTGCGCACACAAAGAAATGAATTTTCCCCCGTACCTAGCCAAAGACTCCAGCTCATTTTACAGCGTTGATATCATAATTCAGTCTTTCTCTGGAGTCATTTATTGTAATAGATGTTAGAAAACACACGCTCCTGGTGAAAGAGAGGTGAATTTGGCTCTACAATGAGGGTCACTCCGTGAAAGGAAGAATGAAGGAGACTTGCAAGATATTTAGGGCCCATCTTCTGAACTGATTGTGGCATATGACTTAGGCATTGTAGATATGTGATCCATTCACTGCTTGCTTATTATGCCAGACTGAATTCTTTTCCTATGCTTTGTCATGTAATAGAAAATACCAATGGCAATTGTCAAGTCAACACTTTTGTGTTCTGTTTATTGACTCAATCAGCCTCCATATATTACTGTGTGTTGTCATTTATAACCTCAATTGATGAGATTCAATCCTATAAGGCATCTTTATAAAGCAGACAAGCATTTAAAGAGAGAAATACAAAGAAGCAGAAATTATAAGACTGCAGATCTCTATCACATACCTCACAATATAATACCATTCTCTGACAATGTTTTATACTCTTGTTTTAAATATATACCCCTTTTCCTTTAGAGATGACTGTTTACCCAAAGCAAGCATCTCCTAGTACGTAGTAGGTTTTATAAAAATGAATTGAGCTTCTAAGGTCCAAAACCAATCTTCACTTTTTCTTTACCTTCTGTATCCAAAACATCACTGAATCTTGTATGGCATTCAACCCCAGGCTTTTAATCTGACCACCAATAATCTAGTTTGGGTACTTGTGTTCCCTCTAATCTGCACCATTGCAATAGCTTCCTAATGCACAGCCTTTATTCATTTCTTCCTCACTTCTATGTGTGGTTACTATATCCTCCTTCCTAAAGGCATCTCATGGTCCTCCATGCTCAGAGAGCTTCCTCACCTACACCATTCCAATAGAATGAATTCCCACTTCCTCAGTTTAGCAGTAAAAGCTCATCAATTTATGGTTCATACTTAACCTTTCTGGTTGTCTTCAACATCACAGACTCACACAGACACACTCAGACTCACACAGACACACACACACACATACACCACATTGTGCTCTTCCATCCCTCATATTTGGGTACTTGCTCAAGTGACACCTTGTTTTTCTATATCTATCTGAGGAAGGGCCATGTTCTTTTCTTATCCTCCCCCTAAACTTTCTGTATTCAAAATTCAGAATCAATCTCACCTACACACCACACACCCAAAGTATTTACTATGTTTGTCATACCATCAGAGCATCATAAGTTTATGAGCTGCTGAAGGACAAAAACTCTATCCTATTTGTTTTATATATTGCATCATTAGCATAGAATTCTGTGCAAACAATTTGGACTGAATCGAATTCAGCTGACCACACGTCCTACGATGTTGTTCTGGCTTTCTTTTAGGAACATGGAATACCTATCAACATGGGCTACGCTGTGGCGCCACATCACTCAGGGGTCTACCCAGTTCATATTCAGCTGTATGCAGCTTGGAAGAAGGTCTGGGGAATTCAGGTCACCAGCACTGAAGAGTATCCACACCTGAAACCTGCAAGATACCGGAAGGGCTTCATTCACAATAGCATCATGGTGAGCACATACTGCTGTGTGTATTGAAGGCTCTTACTATCTACATGTGGAATAACGACAAAATGTAACTTCAGAACTTTTTTACATGAGTATCATAACTTCCTAACATACCATGGTGATCACATAGTGACACATTGCTTGGCTGTATACAGACTTGCTTCTTAAGCTGTGGGGAAGTTTCGGCCAATTCAAGACAAGCTCAGAATATTGGAAATGGGTTTCATATAGATTATCCATGGCAGTTTCTGGATTAAAGTTTTGTCTAGGGACCCTATACTTCCGGGGAGTTTCTCCATGTATATTTGTTTGGGTGGTTTTATTTAGAGTTTTCCGAGCAAAATGTGGGTTCATAAATCAAAGAAACACCTCTCAAGTCAGTACACTATCGACAAACAGAATCTAACAAATAGCATCTGAGAGCTAAGTTTATCCACTCAGTTTATTTTAGCTTTCAGACACTCAAAAATATCTTAGGATATCTTTTTTTTTTCATTGTTTTTTCCCTTGCATATTATAAAAATGAAGGTGTATATTTTCTTTTCAGATATATTAATTGAAAAATACTAATCTGATGTAAAAATGATGTATATGTTTCTCTAGATGAGAATAAAACCAAATGAATTTTAGATGGGCATTTATAATTGTTTGTTGAAATGAAAAAATGGTATTCTTTACTTTCAGTTAAAATAACCCATCTTAAAATCTCCATTCCCATATCCAGCGCTTTAGGTCATTTCACGTGACCTGATCAGTTGCCTAGACCATAGGAGAGGTTTACAAACTGTTCTCCCTCCTTTAAATATTCATACTTTCTCAATCCATTATACAGATTGCTATTAGAATTATCTACCTGTTTATCTATCTAAAAAGTATCCAAAACCAAAGAAAAAGCAATGTCACACGTGCTTAACCAGATCTAATACTCAATATTTTTGATCAGAAAACTTTATTTTTTTATTATAAGTTGGTACTAGAAGACCTAAAGAAGCCTCAAATTTAAATGTAGCTATTGATAATGCAAATAATGATATTGTTGTCCATAGAAATCCAGGAACTATGAAAAGTATTACTCTTTATAATTGCAAATCAGAATGAAAGTACTCAGTTTTCTTTAATTGAGTTGCATGACCATTTGATATATTATTAATTAAAACATTCTTTTTGACCAGTAATACATACATTCATTTACCTTGAATTTAATACAAATTTATGAAAATTAACAAAGAATAAATAAAATTATAGCTATTCTGTACAATTGGATGCATTTTTCCATTAGAGCATAAGTAGTTTATTATTCAAAATAAGTTTTTGGAATAAAATTACTTATTGCTTTCTCTGTTGAACATTTAGATTTACAACAGAATTAACCACAGAATATGCCAGAAGCAATCATTAGAAGATTGACTATTACTGTGATTGAAATTTTAATTCAGAGTAATAAAAACAAAACAAAGATAGCCAGGATGATGAAACTGATTGTTTTGAATCCCAGAACCCAAGGACCATGCAAGACTTCATTTCAGAAGCAAGAAGAGTTAATGGTCTAATACCATGAAAAATGTAATCTTGGAAAATCTCTATATTTGAATTAAATTAACCCTAAGAAGACTTTTATTTTTTACCAGTTCTTTAACATACCTCAGCTGGTGGGTAAGGTTTATAGAAATGAGTGAAAATGCTTTCAACCTGTATGTCCTATAGCTCTGATTTAGCAACTCCTTTTAATATTTACATAGTTATACCAACATCAGCTCTTGAATACAGTAATATTTTGGCTTTTGCAGCTAAGGAATGCCAACAGAAATGATGTGTAGACTCTGAAGTTATGACACAGTGATGGAGATTTTCATTAAGTCATGTCAACATGCTGCTTTTTCTTTTTCCTCAGGTCCTCCCTCGACAGACCTGTGGCTTGTTCACACACACTATTTTCTACAAAGAGTATCCAGGAGGTCCCCAAGAACTGGATAAAAGTATCAGAGGAGGTGAACTTTTCCTCACAATCCTTCTAAACCCAGTAAGTATTCTATTTATGCTTTTTATGATAACATCAGAATTTTCAGTATATGTCTCATTTTGTTTTTATGGTCAACCATTTCACAAGAATAGTTGGGAAATACTAGAGAGAAATTAGACTACCTCTTCAAATTATTCAATTTCCTTATAATCATCAATCAAGAAAAATATAGATTTATTAAGATTCACATGTTGAATATGACATTTAAATATAAGGTAACATCTCAATGTTGGCTTTTATTTTTGAATTGTTGTAAAGACATATTAATATACCTTTCTCTAGCCAAAAATTAACATTCACAATATGGCAGTGCATATCTTGTCTATAAGCTGAGTTTGTTTCTTGCTCAGGATATCAGTAGACATCCATGTTTCAGCCTCTAAAAATGATGACGGTGCAAAATTGCATTGAAAATACGTAGCTGTGCATTACCTTTGTATACTAGGTTCATCTGAGGCCTATTTTTTAAATCTCCATTAATTTTATTTGGAATCAAAGACAGAATTTGTACCTTTTTTCTTTCATTGTGCCCTTTCATCTTCCACAGTTTTGCAATTTTATTTACAGTTATATGTAGAAAAGTATAGCAGTGTGGGAACATATCATTAGAAAATTTTGGGATTCTTTCAGCTTTCTGACTGTTTTTCCATAAAGATTTTCATTTCTGAGGTCTTAGAAAGGCCATGTTCTATTTTACACCCCAGTGTGCACAGAAAATATGAAATAGTGGGTTGTATGCTATGCCCACCTTGTTTAGTGTAAGAAATTTTCATAGAGAAAATGATTCATGCTTTAGACAAAACTATAGCTCAGTTGTCTGTAGCAAGGCTCCAGGTACATTTAAAATGAATAATTAGATAATTTATTTATGGTATTTTTAATTCCCAAAGAAATTAAATAAAAACCTACATTGTGTAAAGATGAAAACTCATAAATTGGATTGGAGGGGTAAGGAAGTGGGTGCAAAAATGCTTTATCTGATGATGAGTGATCAACAAATTTCTCCTCAAACTGCAGGGCTATTCAAAACAAGACAAAACAAACAGTCTATTGTGTTGGGGAGCCACTGAACTGGGGGACAGCTTGAATGCTCTATGATAGCAAAAAACTATTTCTCAAAAATTTTTGCTCTCCTTTAAAAACAATCTTGTTGAACTAGACAACCATCAATTCCTTATGGATATTCCAATATTTTGTGTATAATTCAAACTCATTGAGACTTAAAAGATGTCAAAAACATTATAAAAATAGTTTTTGGAAACTGAGGTGTACATGTGAATGTTAATGAAAGCAAATGTGGGAAATCTTTCACTTTACACCTTCCCTCACTAATTGAGAATTTGATCTCCACAGAGGCAAGGGTCACATCTTCATACCATTTTCACTCTGGGGCTACACTCCTGACCCCAAATCTGCTCTGGTCACCTCCTCAAGGGACGGGGATAAGCATCAGAACACTGATGATGGCCTCTCCTAAATCTCTTGCCCCCAGATCTAATTGCTACTGATGTCTATTACCTGGATGCCCGTCTGACTACTTGTCATTAAAGAGATGGGAGTATAATTCAGTACTCCTTATAAAGCATCACTCGGAGATTAATTGTTGGTCCTTTATATAAGATGGAAGACTATTTGGCATTTCTATCTTTGGCACTTGTGGTGAACTAACAAAACAATTCTAACCTCACTTTAAAAGTTTAACATTGTCACACAATTTTATTTGAATTACAGAAGGAATAGAAGGGTGGAAGAGGGGAGTTTTCAGGAGACTTCTAGTATCCAATCACAAACTGCACTTACTATGTTATTGTGAATTGATGGTGATCTCAAAGTAGGATTTATGAGTAAAGGAGAGAGACCCAGAGAGACACAGCAGAAAGAGAAATGCTAGAGATGGTCAATAGTGTAGACAATGTAGGGCATCCTATGTATGGTGATGAAGCCTGGATTAGGCAAATATTGGTCCACAAAGATATGGGAGTAAGAAATAATGTTGCTCAAAACATGAATGGTATAGTTATAGGCAATCTAGGTAGATGCTACTCAGCTCTCTAGGGAGACAGGCAGCAGGCAGCATCTGACAGAACCCAGGTCCAAGCAGGGCTTGGTTCTAGAGCTGCATAAGCAGAAGTTACCAGATGTATTAGTCAGGGTCCTCCAGAGAAACAGAACCAATAGGATGATGGGGGAGACATTTATCACAAGGAATTTGCTCATGTGATTATGAAGGTTGACAAGTCACAAGATCTACAAGCTGGAGACCCAGGAAAGCTGGTAGTATAGTTCCAGTCCAAAAGCCAGCAGGATTGAGAGCCAGGAAGAGTCAATGTTTCAGTTTGAGATTGATGGCAGGAAAAAAAAAATGTCAATGTCCCAGTTCAAAGTCAATCCAGGCAGAAGGAGTTCCTTTGTACTTACAGGAAGGTGAGACTTTTTCTTCTATTCAGGCCTTCAACTGATTGGATGAGGCCCATCCACGAGGGAGGGCAACCTGCTTTACTTAGTTGACCAATTCAGTTATTAATCTCATCCAAAAGCATCCTCATAGAAACACCCAGAATAATCTTTGAGCAAATATCTGCATAACCTGTGGTCCAGTCAAGTCAACACAGAAGCTTAACCATCACACCAAATGAGGTGCTTAAGATGGGAAGCAGACTGAAAGTGAATGAAATAAAATGGGGAACACAAGAAGAGAGGAGAAAATTATGAATGAAGAAAAGATAATATAAGCATGGAATTTTTTTCATACCTGTGTCTTATTATAAGTAGAGAGGCACCATAGATGATGGGCTATGATCAAACTTCACTATTGTGGAGAAAAGAGGCTGCTTGATTAATTACTGTTTCAAGTTAGATGGTTCAGCAAGTCTCTCAAAGAAGGAGCCTGTAAGAATGGAAGGAGGAAAGAAGAAAACAGACAGAAAAATAATGCTGATACCCCCAGCCTTCTCCTCTGATCTATTTTTTTTCTCCAACCATCACTTAATTCTTTGTCAGAGTGAAGAGTATCTCCTTGTTTGTTCACCAAAACCATGCTGAAGAAAAATATCTGTAAATTCATTGACGTGACACTATGTTATCAACATGAGTTAATTAATACGGTAACTCTAAAGAATACTTGTATTCTAACAGAGCCAGTTCCAAAAGGAGAGGTTTAGGATTACGTTATTTAGGCATCAAAGTCCCTTAAGGAAATATAATTTAAGTAGAAATTACCCAGCGAGATGACCGCCTCTTCTACCTGCTGCTCTAACTGATTCTAAATGTGGAAAACTGATTTTGTGAGGGCTTATAAGTAGGATAAGTGATCCCTAGTGTTAGCATAAACTCTAAATATTTAAACCCAATCTAACTTTATTTCATTTTTTCGATATGACCTATATTTTCACATCTCAGAAATACTGTAGACATCATATATTATGACATCTCACTTACATGGTGATTTTTCTGTGGATGTGTAAGTGATCTATAGATTTTTGTCCTTGGTATTGGATTTTAGTATGTTAATGAATGGATGAAAAGGGATATATATAGCATGACATAAAGCTGACAGTGATGGTAAATACACCAGATGATCATCTTAATAGCCAGTTTTACTTAGCACATTGGAATGATAGACTAAATCCAACAAGACAAAACTTAACAGGGAGTAATAAAAAGCCCCAAAATTACTTTCAAAGAAAACAGTGGTATAATTCTGGCAATACATAGGATAAATGTTCTATAAATATAGATTGAATCTGCTAGAAAATTGTATGCACTGCATCATGACTTATTCAGCTCTTTATCATTGAAGTTGTCTAAACTGGAGTTTTGTAGGAATGTGGAATCTATTACTTTTAGTTTCTCATCTGATGCTAAGACTATGTGATTCTGTTCTTATCCAGTTTGTCATGGGGTATATCTCTTTCATTGTAAAACATAAAAAATATGAAGTAGGTTTAATTTTACATGTCATAAACTGGCATTCTATATTTAGTTATACTCTGTGATTGTAAGATCAGAGGGAAGAGTAATGGTAACATACCAACATGTATAAAAATTAAAAATTACACAAAATGGATAGATATTCAGTGGTGAATGTATTGAGGGAAGTAGGGGAGAAAAAAATGTCTCTCATCAGTAGCTTAAAGAGATATTATTTCAAGATTTGGTGGACAGTTTTGAACTGACTGGTAGTTTCCAGATTCATTTGTATGTAAGCATCCTGTGAGGCTAATAAAAGCTGGAAAAGGAACATGAGGGAAGGTCCTGGAATCTCCCTCTCAGGGGTACTTTAAAGTAGAATCAATAACTATATAGCTCTTTCTCATCGCCTTGGGAGTTCATCTGCCTAAAGAAAGGGGACTGCATTAAATAACCTTGAAAAGTTCCACTTTCTTTTTCTGGTTTATAACTTTCACAACTCTGCTCAGTAGTCAAAAAGGCACAAACCACACCGAGACCAGCATCACTTCTTTTCCTGTCCAGCTTTAAATGTAGAAATTCACATTATTTTGTGCTGCCCACCTCAAAATAGACCTTTATCCTTTCTGTGCTCAGAAGTCTCATATTTTTTCTTTATGAATTTACAACAGTTAATTTTTCCATTTAATTCTGACTCCAGCTGCTATCCTGTTCTCATAGTTTTATACATTTTAAAAATATCGTTATTTTCTAATATAACATAAAACAAAAAAATGCAAATTGGAATATATTTTTACATCTTAACTCACATATGAATTCCTGTTACTGCTGCATATTAAATCTTTTGATTCAGCAAACTGCAAGAAATGGGGTTTCTTGATTTCCTTAGATACCTACTTGTTTTGCCCAAATTAATCTAACAATTGAAAATCATATAATGTAAGGACTGTTTGAATGGCATTTCATAAGAATAGCTAGACATCTGTCCACTTAACATTCAGATAACCTCCTCTTATTTTTCTTAGATTCTATCATGACCTCATCACATACTGATATTTTCCTGCACTGTTCCCCACTTGTCGAACACTAAC